CCTTCTGCATCTACAACAATTGCTTAAATCATGGAATAGTAAATGGAAAGAGCTTGCATGTTGTGTATCTCGTGACATTTACCTTTAAATTGATTTTAGCATGATTATAAACAACTAGAATCATTAAACTATGCTGTTCCACTAGTGGAAGGATTTCTTCATCATATGCAAGTATCAAACAATAGGTCCGATGATGAGATCAAAAGAACGAGTCCCACAAAGTACAACACCTAGATTTTACATTTTCCTGTTTTATTGCTCTTTTCGGTAGAATAAATCAACCAAAAATAGTCTATTCCACTGCAGCTACTTGTGCTGCTTGCTTTTAAATGATCAGTGAACTGCCTAACCCCCTACAGTTGGAGCATTAGTCCCACAAAGTTTTGCGCAGGTTCAAACTTTTTCGCCATTGAAATGTTAGCAGCAGCTGCTAGTTATTAACAACAAGGATGGGTCATTAATAAGTAATACGCTCACGTGATCTGTTTCCAATCCCGGTCTGTGTATTAAATCTATGGTGGTGGTGCCTTTGATACACCCACACACTATAGTACAAATATTAATTAGAACATGGCTTCGAGGGGAGTGTATCAGGTATATACTGAAAATGATATTCATAGTCCCGAGGGCGGAGCCTAGCCATAGGGACTATGAATATCATTTGAAGTGTATACCAGATACTCCATGCTCTAACTGGCTTGTATCCAGGGAAGCCATAAGATGCAAGGAATAGAAAAGATTAAAGTCATTAGTAAGAAATAATGTTGAGCTTGCTGTGGAAGATGAGGTAAAAGATACAAATGGTAATCCTCCAGAGGAAGAGCAATGCTCCTTATGAAAGGATCTTGCCTGAGCAACATATTGAAGTCAGTAAAATTTTGATGTCACATGGAAATGATGACACTTTCTTACATAGGAAGAAACCCGCAGGAAAAGAAGAAAGTGAAAGTTTCCAAGACTGTATAATATAGAATGATGTCACAATCAACTTCATTAATTTCATGTTCATTTAGTAATGTTACTTCCTGTTGCATAATACATTCCCCTGGCCACTTCAGGTTCAATATATACATATATTCCACTAGCCACTTCCTGTGAAATATATCACATACAGTCTAGTGAAATGTCAAAGATGTTCATCTTTATGTTGTTGCTGTGTTTAATAGTTACCATTGATGAAGGAGAAGGATCTTATTGTATGGCTGATTGTACTGGATATAAACATGAACCATCACTGTATCTAAGAGTATGCTGTATCATTAGTAACTTAGGACAGACTGTTACCATTAGAGGAATTGGTACAACAAGATATATTCTATGTCCTAAAGTACGACCAAAGTCTTGTCCATCAGGTACTGTATATAACTGGAATAGTTCATGATATACTTATTGTAGATAACAGAGACTGTAAGAGCTTGTTTGAGACTGGTTTTGATATAAGCGGTGTTTATACTGTTAATCCTGATGGAGGGACTCCATTTCAAGTTAGTTAAAAGTAATTTATAATTATACACTATTGGATCACAGGTATACTGTGATATGATTAGGAAGATACCAATATAACTGGTAATTTTCAAGGGGTAACATTAATTTTGGTAAGTTAGCAAATAATTTCTAGTGATTGGCGGGTTCTAAGGAATCAGTTCAGAGTCTAATAAGGAGAGCAATGGTCATTGTGGTCAATGCATTTTATTCACAGGATACCAAAATATATTTTATAACTAGACGAATGTAAAACATTAGTGCTCCACCCCAGCTACACTATCATGAAGATGAGATTATTTAACTTTAAAAATAGTTAGATGATCCTATACTGCCCGTACATACTGACTCA